CCCCCGCGCGAGGCCCTTCCCAGCTGGAGCGGGGCGAGCGCTCCCGCACCACCTGCTCGCTCCGGCAGCGAACGCGTGACCTTCGTCGAGGCGCTTTAAGAAGGGTTTGCCCTCGTTTTGCTTTCCAGGACTGCCTGCTGTGAAGAGTTACTCGGCGTGGAAGAACGGTGTTTTGATCCCCAAAAGGCGGTTCGGAAGAGGCTTGTTCATAACGCGTGTGTACCTTGTGGGCTTTTACACCTGCAGCGGTCCGGGCGCTTTGGTTAGCAACATCTCCCGGCCGCGTTGTTGTGACTTGCGGTCTGCAGGTGGTGGTCAGAAACAAAAGTCTTGTTTTCAGTCAGCAGCGTAGGGCAAGGGCAGCGGTGAGAAAGGTGAGCAGGGACCCGGCGAGCGCGGAGGTCGCTGTTTTAGATCGTTCGGCAGTGGATTGCCTCTCCCGGGCTGGGGCAAGGGTGGATGAGTCTGCAGGTTTGGAAGGTGTCACCAGTGGCACCGAAAGGGAATTATTCCGTATTACATTTATGTGCTGAACATCTTACCTGTAACTTACAGAAAATAACACTTGCTGAAAAACCTAAGTAGAGGCTCCTTCAGCATGTAATGCAGAATAAAGATTGACGTTCTTTAGCTTTTTGACAAATTGAATCTTGCTTTGAATAACGCCCTTATAGGGACATCGATTTCAGTTTGATAGGATCTGCCTCAGGCTTGACTTTGGTGGTGGATTAAGTAAACCAGAAGAAGAAAAAGCTGATTTCAGGAAAAGAGCCTGGGTGCAAGCACACGTATTTGCTTCAGCAGCAGCAGCAGCACAGGCTCAAGTAGTGTCCGCCACCCCAGGCACCCCTCGCTCTTCACTCCCGTCCTTGTGTTACCCCTCAGGCGAGGGGGCTGCCTAGTCGCATGTGGGTCCACGCAGTGATCGAGGAACTGATCTGAGGTTAAAATAACTGTATGGGCACGGCAGGTATTTTTCATGCAGCTCGATTCCCTGAGCCCCGTTCACCCAGGGACGGCTGCGTCGGTGCGAGGGTGCGGCCAAGGGGACAACTGGAGACGCTTCAACCGAGATGAGCACCAAAGGATGCGCGTGTGGCCTGAGGACTGCCGCGTAAGGCTTCGCTCCCGACTGATCCGGCCTTTCAAATTCAGCTCTTCCTCAGGGCCAAATTCTTCGGGCACGGGGCAGCCACCCTTCCAGGAAGGGGGTGTGGGAGGGGAGGTGTTTTGGGGACTCTCTTGCCCAAAGAGGGTGATGGAAAAACGTGTTGTCACTACTCTCACTAACCCCCAGGCGGGGACCGGCCTCGGCTGTGCCGTCAGACGTGAGAACAGAGCATTGTGTTGAGGAGAGAAATGAGGGGATCCCTTCTGGGGCTGCTTCTAGGACTGCCAACACCTGAGCCTGGCGCTGAAGTAGAGGAGGGTAAAACTGGGGCAGTGCTGACCAGGAGCATGGTGGCTTCCAGCGTCAGACTTCCCATTAAGACAACTATGTTATCAATGTATATTGAAGAGGTCCTCAGGAAAGAGCAAGTCCTGCGAGCTAATAGACCTATTCCCAACTCATAAATCTGGAAATGGGCTCGCTCTTTGATCTCTGAGCACTGCTTTTGTAGGCGGTCACTGCTGTGATATCCTTAGGGCCGAAAGACTTCTCCGTTCCCTGGCGCTTTACAGTGTCAGAGGTGTTCCAATAACTGTCTCGTAACAGCAACTAATGTGCTTCCCCGATGGGAAAAACGACTAGAGACATTTCCCAGGCCTTAAGGCCTTCATTAGGAGACAGAGATAAGATATTTGTAGACTTTAAAAAGAAGGAAAGTCAGCTTTATTACAGTAGAAAAAAATAACTTGTACATACTAAATTTTGTTTGTAATAGAACTTGTAAGACGAATGGTGTTTGACTGCTAGTTCTGTAACAGTTGATAGAAAGTCTGGGTTGTGCAGCTTTATAAAATAGGATACGGGTGCGTTATGACTGAATCAGGGCAATGGGCAAAACTGCCCCTGTCCTTAATACGGCCCAGTATTACAAATAGAGACGCCAGGGTACGCGGTGGTTCGTGCTCAGCCACTGAATTATCCATTTACAGATGATTGAGCTGTCTAGTAGACGTTCACACAGTTAATCGTGAGGGGCTGACCCAGCTGCAGGTAGGCTTTTGTCTGCACTGAGTGGTTGCACACCTTTGATGCTGACCACTGTTTGCTTCCACTCTCCACGTCCCGGTTTCCTTTCCTGCTCTGTCTGACCAATACCAGCATTTTGACATATCTCGGTGAAAAATCCTCTTAGGCGTGCCAACAGTATGTGCTGGACCCAAAAGCACAAGCGACTTTGAGGCAAGAGCAGAAGCCAGGAATCCTGTTTCCCGGTCCTGGTGCTCGGAGCATTAAATACGAACTCTTTTGCTCTGTAGGAATCTGGTGGCTGCTCTTAGGTATTGGCTTGCCTTGAAAGGGACCTCAGTCTGAGAAACTTAAGAGGGACTTAGCGCTCTAATTGTAACAGATTGTGCTGTTGCATGAGATCAGAGTACGCGTCTTTCGCTGCCGCCTCCGAGGCGAGCGGGATGGCATGAAAGACAGCTCTTTGTTTCTTCTGCCAGGTTTCTCCCCTCCTAATGTTGGCACACCTCACCACAGCTCCCGCAGAGTTGCATCCCACCAATGTGCTAGAAGTGATGCCTGCGAGGGATTGCAGCATGCCTCCTGCAGGGAGAGAAAGCGATGTGTCTGGATTCGGCAGCGTTTCCTCTCCCCGACAAGGAGTTTTGCATCCAGCTGTGCCCCCTTAATCTGACAAGGGTGTTTCCAATGCCGTGTAGGTGCCAGCACGGAGGTGGAATTGTTCTAGGTAAAGGCTGGAAGTATTTCAGGAAGTCATTCAGACTTTTGTCCCCTCCAGTTCTCTGTATTTGCTTTTATTTTTGTCCTATGAGGCAGGAAGGGGGATTTTACTTCTTGAGATGCAGAAGCTATGACACAAGTCCAAAAGGGGCTTGTTTTTGAAATGAAGATGGCTAAAATTGAGATAGCTGTCCCTAAGGGAAAAGCACAAGTGGCTTTTACTACCTTGTGTAGGTGACAACGACTGCTGTCCATCTTGGAAGCTGATGACACTGCTTTTCGCTCTGTCTGTCAAGGGGGAAACTTCCTATGCTTTTGTCAGTGCTGGGCCGCTGCGCGGAGATATCTGTGCTGAGGGAGCTGTGGCATTAGGAAATGTGCACTGGTGTCTGCAATGAAAACACAGTTTTAAGCTTCAGGTGGAGAACGTGCTGTCACGTCACTGTTGACAACTGCAAGCGTTCGGCAATGAGAAGACAAGCTCTGAAACATGGAGATTTTGGAGAGGAAGGGGCTTTGGAGAGGAGCGCTCCATGTACTGGCCTGCTGTCCTTGAGCTTTTGTGTATCGAGCGGTTGAGGTTCTCTACAGCTGTTGAGGGCCACAGAGTCACCTTTTAAAGAACGCAGCTGGAGACCCTGCCTTACTTTAGGAGCTGGAGCTTGGCAGCAGTGTGACGTTCAGTCATACCTTCACTGCAAAACAGACCCAGCCCCTTGGATAACTCACACACACGAGCAGTTTTGCTGTGAACTCTGAGAGGGGGTGAGATGCCATAGATTTTGCCATGCAGTGGTGAGGTAACCCCTGGTATACCCCTTCCCCTGGTTGCGCTCCTCTCGTTTATCGCCTCACTTTGTGTCTCCGAGCCTTCTGCAGGGAGGGAGCTCTCGCACGGTGCTTAACTTGTTCCAGCAAAAATTACAAAGTAGTTTTTGTGTGTGCTCTCTTTAATGTGAATACTCTGGTGCCTGAAAATATTACTGAACTTTTTTGTAGTGCAAAGTTAGGTCTCTCTCCTCTACCTGACTAGTTTCACTGAGCTTGCCAAGGCTTGTTATCTTGGAGATCTCAATTTGTATATCAGTTTTAACTGAAATTGGCCAACAGGTTCAAAAGCTCACATTAGGATACCGCCAGACAAAGGAACAGCAGTCACACAAGCCTGGTTTCATTTTCCTTAAGAGAAGGTTTAAAAAAAGCCAAACAAAAATACATTTTTGCTATTAAGACCTAGCCTAAGTCTAAGCTCTATTGAAGAAATGATGCCTGTATAATTAATGTTGGTTCTCACAAATAAAATTGATTGTGGACCAGAGACATTTTTATGGTCGCAATACTACATTTGCTCTGGAGCTTTTGCTGGCATGAAAATGCCTTATAATTTCCATCTTCTATAATGGGGCCCTAATAGCAAAAATCATTAATGCACACTAGCCTTTGGTTTTGAGGGCGTTTTTCTTTCAGCCTAAGAGGAAATCTTTGGAATGAATGCTTAATTTCCATCTAATTGCTTCTAGTTACTGAATAACTCCTCTAACAATGCTCTTTATAACCTCCAAATGCTTTTAGAGGTTTATCAGGTCTTCCCAATGCACATAAACACAGATCTATACATTGAGGCGCATCCAGGCTCCTAGGTAGAGTCCTGTCTCCTGAGATCTCTCAGTGATGTTATGCTTACAATTTAAAGTTGTTCTTTAATAATATTTATGTTTCTAGCTCTCATGGCTACAGCAAGGAAGAGCTTGAGAAGGTGACCTGCATGTTGTCCTCACTTTGATGCAGTGTGCAGATGTCCTGAGGTATGTTCCTGAGCAGTCTGAGCCACCCGACCATCTTAGCTTTTGAGCTATGTCCTCGGGAGCTCCTCGCCAGCTCCTCACTGCACCACCAAGGCTCTTCAAAGGACCCCGCGCGTAATCCTCCACTCCGGGGGGAGTCCCAGAGCAGATCCCGGCCTCCCTGCAGACAGGGGCCCGCAGTGTAAAGAAAAGAGGAGTTAAGCTTTCCTGGTGGGCCGGGGAAATGGCTTGGGGGTGGACGGCTCCTTCTGTCTCTCGGCGGGGTGGGCTTTGGGCTTGGCTGTTCCCACCGCACATGCGTGTGTCGGGGGGGGGGATCAGTAAAGGGACTTATCTGTATGAAAAGTACCACCGTGTGAGGATTGGGGACACAATGTTTTGTTGCGCCTAGACAAGATGACAACTTCTGTGCCTCAGTGTCACCATCTGTGAAACTACTGCAACGTTGATATTTGTGTCTGTCCCTGACCGTCAGGCCCTCATCCCCTGTGGGACAGGGAGAGGGGTCCCATGTTACCAGGAGGTCCGAAGGCCAACTCTGAGCCTTGCTCGGGCGATAGCGAGGCTGTCCCAGTTGACAGTAGGTGCCTGGGCACCATCCCTTTTGAGGGGCTGCCAGCGTGACCTCCTGTCCTGCCCGGCCACCTGTGCCCAAGGGATTGGGCCAAACCCCTTCCAGGGCTTTGGTGCCAGCAGTAAAAAGTACGCGATGGATGCTGTCACATCTGAGAGCTGGAGCAATGCCGTCAGAGGCTGGTGACACCAGCTACCCGTGCAGGACGCTCCTTGTATCGCCTCGTACAGCTACAGGGCCGCTAGTTATTTCAGGTCACAAGGTATAGCTCCCGCTCTTGCCAAACAGCCCTGTGCACAGATCTGCTGTGGGGTTCACATACGTATGGCAAGTGTTTGTGTCCTTTCTGAAAGAAGACTCAGTCTTGCTTGCCTAGGATTTGATTACTTCTGTATATGTGTAATATGTTTTTTCTTTGAAAATTGAACTGCTGTTTCTCATTCTCTGATTTTAGCAACAAGAAACAAATAGTATCTTGTGACTTGAACTTTGTGCTCAGGAGGGGGATGTGCCTTGGTAGAGTAAGGCACTTCCTGAGAGGTGTGAGACGTGACTTCAGGATCTCCTGGTACCGTTCGTGTATTCTGCTCCAAAGAGTTGATAAGAGCTTCAGACGCACAGAAAGCCTGGAAGAAAGTAGCGGTGGGGGATGCATAAGAATCTAGCAAATGCTTATGACAAGATCAAAGGGCTGCATTTGCTAGGTCTCAACAGGAGCAGATTTGGGCTGAGATGCCCGGGTTCAGAGGGGACCCAGACATAGCACAGGGGCAAGAGCAGAATATGTCTGATTGCTGGCTCCCTACCTTCAGAGAGAGGAAGATCAAGGAGCTGGGAGTGGAAGGAGATAAGAGCAAACGGTGGAGGTGGGGTCAGGAAGGGGCAGGAGGTAGGAAGCTATCTGGAGAGAGGAGGGGTTGGTTGGTCTAAAGCGGACGGGATATTTAGAGTTGAATTTAGATGCTATTACACCTTAGCCTGCCTTTGAGATACACTGGGCATAGCAGGATATGTGTAACTGACGGTCACTTTTGCTCCTGAAAGGAGTGGATAGTCTTACAATGACTTCTGTGGCAGCAAGCCTTAGGCTTAAACAATTCGTTGCTGCAATTTATTTTCTCTGCGCCCACCTCTCCGATCTCATGATACTATGAGAAAACTTAAAGCATCTATTTGATGAGTTCATCATGTTGCTTTGCTTAATCATATGCTCTGAATGAAGTCTGTAGAACAGTCATACCCCATTCTTAGAGATATTTTCATCAAAGGAGGATTTTATAATAGTCATTGATCCGGGTGGTTGTGTATCTAAAATTAGTGGACTGTGTGAACTCCCAGTAGTTTCATTAATCCTTTGCATGGGCAAAGGAAGCACTTCTGTCTTTGCAGATGAATAAAAATAAAAAATAAGAAGAAAGGAAGATAAGAACGGAAAAGCTAAGGAAAGAGAAAAGGCCCTCTTTACCTCCTTTTTATACAGCACCTACTTGCATGGAGCCAGCCCTCCAGGATGCAGCTTGCATTTTGGGCCTGGTCGAGAAGGGCAAGATGGTATGGCATGTACCAGAGAAGCCACGTCCTGTTTAAATAGCACTGTGTAATTGAAAGAAAAGCTCCAAACAGTCCTCTCTCTGCTTTTTAAGACTCTGTGGCCTTAGGAAGCAGTGTTAAGAAATTGTTTTCTGCCATTTCTTGGCAGACTGGGGTTTTGTGGTCATATAGTAATGTGCTGCAAAAACAGTACTGCTCAAGCATCTGCTGAGGCTCCTTCGTGGAGCAGCAGATGCAGTAGTTTCTCCTGGTAGTGCCCTGTCCTGCTCTCCTGCCCAGCCTGACTGCATGCAGTAAGCTCCTAAAGCCCCGTCCTCTGCTGCATGTTCCAGTCGTCCTTCTACCCTTGCTTCACTAATGAGAATCACTGGGTGTTTGGTTCCTGTCCTGCAGTGTTTGATATCAGTCTTAGCGCCTGAGCTGCAGAAATTAATCGATTTTATAAGAATCTCACTTTTTTCCTTCTTTCTGTTAAAGCTAATGTCTCACGGTTGTTGAGAAAATAATCCAAGTATGAAGCAAATTTTGCTGTGATGTTTCAACACCACAAGGCAATACAAAGAATCCGAACTTTCCTGGTAATGCCAGGTGCCTGTTAGGATGAGAACACGGATCCACTGCCTTTCTCCGTCCCCGGGGTGTCTTGTGCTGTTAAACCTCACAAGTTTTCCTTCTCTGAGTGGTATTGACTGGAGATTTTTGCAGTTGTTTCCCTGCATTTCCCTCCTGTTGCTGCTCAGTGCCTTCCACGTGCCTAGGCTGATGCTCTGGCTTCATTCTTGCCATTCATGCTAAACGTTTCCTGTCTTCTTTCCTAGCTAGTTTCGGAGACGAGGGACTGTTCGTCTCTCATGAATCTTGCAACAAAATCATTTTGTTTTGCTCTGGAATTTTTTTCTGGGGTTTTTCATTTCAAAGACGGTCAGACCTCTATACAGCTTGGAAGATTTTCAGCTGTAACATTTAGAAGGAAGGAGGGAAGTTTTGTCTGACTTGAAGATTTGCGGCTGATCATTAAATCAGTAGTTTCTGGTGATCAGAGCTGGGGAGTGCAGCAGTTACTATGCCATTTCATGCAGTAATTCTCTTCCATGCATGAACTGACTCATACTCCTTTGCTATTTAAAATCACGCTGAAGAAAAGAAAAAAAAGAAAGAAAGAAAGAAAGAAAATGCCATGCAAAGAAACCAGTAGGCATTATTTTGGTGGGTTATCCTGATTTTTGTAAGCACAACTTGCCAGTGTCCGACTCACCCCAAAGCTCCATACATTTGCATAGAAGAGTATCTCCGTCCTCCTCCCCCACCGTCCTGCCTCCCGCAGCCCAGACAAGCAGTCCGTGACCTTCCCACACGCGGCCTCTCTCCTGCGGCAGGTCCCTGCCCCATGCCCCTGCCAGGCTGCCCGGCTCAGGCATTCCCTGACCTTCGAGGTGTGCCTCTTGTTCCCCTTTCCCCAACTTAAATGCCAGCTGTTTTTCTTTGCCATTATTCAAGCCCAGCTTCTCTGATTTTATTTCTGGGGAAGGAGGTATTTTCCTGTTTGGCTTTGGCCCCCTTCGTCACGGGCGCATCCACGTCACCTCTTCCTTCTAATCCGCCCCGTTGTTGTCTAAAGGTGTTCCTCTCTTCCCTTTTCTTAGTAGTTGGGTCTCTTTATCTTTTAGTCCCCTAAACTAAGTCCATCCCCTAAGTCCGTCTCTTCTGCATTTGACCAAGCTTGTCAAAGAGGGAATTTGAGACTTTCCTCCTTGACAGCTCTTCCTGTCCACCCCCGGAAGTGTTTCTGTGCCACCAGACACGTGCCAAAGAGCAAATACGTGTATTATTCTAAATGAGACAACTGCAATCCCAGATCAAGAGCGACTCCAGACAGCAGTGATCACAGTAGCTCTCTACTGCCATCTTAGCCATGACCCATGTCCTCAGGAGACCCTCTTTTTCTCTTTTACTGTCATATCTTCATATCTGGGAGGCTGCTGTAAGGTCTTTGAGGTAAGAGAAAGTGCAAGGCAGTGGGAAGAGTTCGCTGCAAGGCTGGCTGTTCAAAAAAAGCAGCGTTGCAGCACCTGTGTTTCTCCTTGCGCTCCCACCCTTTCTGCCAGCTGCTGCAACCAGCCTGGGGCTCGGCCGCCTGTGCCTAAACTGTGAGCGTAGACAAAGCCTCGATGGAAAGTTTTGCTGCAGCTGCAGTGGCTGGAACCCGCAAGCCTGGACTGGATATCCTCTCCCTGAACATCCTGAATCGCAGCAGCACCTGGCTCTTTGGCATCATGCGTGTCTTGCTCAGAGCCAACAGGGCAGTGTTCACGGTACTGCTTTTATAGCATTTCAGAAAGGCTGTGTTTCTCACAAACCTTGCCAAGATGGAAATACTCGAGGTCTTCAAAAGGCAGAAGTGAGAACATAAGGAACGTCCTTAGATGACTCTCTCTTTGTCGAGCTGTCCTTCCTTCATGTGGTGTGTTCCTTATCGGATATGG